CGCGTATCGGGTTCTTTGTAGTTTTGTAAAAGTGTCTGCGTTTCGAAAGCATCAAAATGCTAATTTATTTTATACACAATGGCCTGTAAAAGTATTCGGGCGTCGAATACTTGTAGAAATTGTTTAAGAATGTATTATGTATCTTACATGAAATATATTAAAATTCCATTAGAACTATTAGTAAGTTTCAACTATCATGTTCGTATTGGTAAAGTTTGGAACGAATTTGAGGATATATATATAGAAACTACAAGATATTTAGCGCGAATAAATACGTATTTCGCAGAAATCACACGAATATTCAAATAACGTATATCAATCTCTTATCAGGCTTATGTTTGCAGTAAACGTGTTGTAAGTTTTATATGTACTTTCAGATTGGTTTTATCAATATAATCCTGGCACTGATATCTCGTTGCAGTATTAATGAAATTTTTTAATGTTTTATATAACACACGCAATATATACATATATATATAAAAGCAATTAAATCGAGTCACACTATCTCTAAAATTCGAGTAACCCGTTATTACACGGATGTTCTTACTTTCCATTGGGTCACGTCGTTTGGAGCAGGTGCTGTGTACACATTGCAGAGAGTAACGGTATACCTGTCTGGTGTTTTGTGGACTATCGCGATCCAAGTAATACGTCGACTCTAATCGCATTCGATCGACTTTCGATTGTTACCAAATTAACCTGCAGTGCTTTGAGCTCGAATTAAGATCACGTGCCCGGTGAAGCACGAAATAAAAACAGCCCAGGGACTCGAAGTAAAATCAACACACGCCTACACGTATACACACACACGCATAGTGTTCTCCTACACCCTAAGTTGAGCCGCGAGCAGAGGAACGGGAAGAGCAGCAGGTGGTGTTTGGAATTTAAACACGGCGAGGATAGCTGGCCCTTTAAGCGGCTCCGTTTAAATTCCAAAAATGGAATTCCAAATGTCGACGATAGGACGATCTTTATACCGCGGACGTTTAAAACGTCTACGATAAAAACGAGTTCACGTTGTGTACGGGTTGCCAGATTTATTTTAGTCTATAAATAAATAAATATTCGAAAAGCAAAAAATTGCAACAAAGTTGAAATATCGTAACTATATCGAGATTGAAATAATTGCTCTAATTCGCAGTAGACGCTCGTTCGTTAAGTCCATTACGCTTACAGCTCGATTCACGGGACAAGTTGCATCGAATCGCGAAAGCAATTATCCAGTATCCCGTAATTGGTCGATCAACGGTCGTTTTCTTATGAAGACATTAACTTCTCGAAGCTGGTTCGGCTTGGGATAGGCATTCGTATAAGTTTTTTTTCCTCCGGTCGAGAACTCGAAATCCTTCACGTCCCCGGGTCATACAGAGAAGAGTAGAGAAGAGAAGAGAAGGCGAGTGTTGCGCGCGAGTATTCGATCGTGCAGCGTCTCACACATTCGCGCGAGACGGAACGAGGACCCCCGGGGAACCCAGAAGCGGTCGTCCTTCGACGAAATAATTGCGGAACACGAGCCAGCTCGCGCTCTCTTGCCATTTAATGGCGGTATTCGCCGCGCGTACACCGTGCAGTCGTTATCCTCGATTTATGGCCAAGCCTGGCCTGAATCCTTATGCGGCGTTCAGTTAGGTACAGGTCCGCGGGAAAGGATAGCGGATGGTTTAAAGGAAGAGTCAGAGGAAGCCATAAGTCCGGTATATGGCCGTTACTCTCCATTTAGAGTGGCGCCTCCGCCGAGATCAATTTCGGCTCTCTACAGTCTCGTCTCTGAAGAGTTAAAAGCGTGCCGCTCAATTTCGTCCACCTTCTAATTGATTTGCTTTTTTCCCAACGAAGCTCGGTGATGATTACTTTCAGCGCCAATTTAGGCAGGAACAGCACCATTCTTTTGCTAATCGCGTTAATTACGAATTGCGAAATTTGTTTCTGTTTCTGTTTTATAGAGTATTGGTAGCCTATAGTTTGTTCATCATAAAAATATCATTTCTCGGTGTCTTTATTACGTGGTAATAACTCTATTTATCTAAACTCGTTGCAGAACGATCGCAATACGGTTAGATTCTTCTCGTTTGGACAAGTGGGTTCCATATTTCAGTTCACACAAGCGAACACTGAAAAACGTAGTTCGGCTAAATAGAATTCCAGTATACTTTTTAGTCACAAAGCTTATTTTTAGCGACGGAGCACAAGATAGATTCTACTCTCCCTCATGGCTGCATTTCTGAATCGTCGAGCTCCCGGACCGCGCAGACGTGCATCTTTTTTTCTCCCTTGGAATGTACGCGTTCGAATAAAAACAGCTGCCAAAGCTACAACGCCACTTCGTGGGAAAATTTATTTGTTTGCCTCGTCGCGTTCAAAGGGAGTATTTATTTCATAGAAACTGGGCCTTAAATCGTCGCGGCAATAATTCCTAGAAGCTCGCTCTGCAAAGGGAAATCTTAATATTTCTATAAAACGTTGCTTATCGTTAAACACGTACATAATTGCTTTTTGCCTGCGAGAATATGTTATCTTCAAAATGCTGGAATATCTTCTACGATTCGAAGGATTTTTCGAGCAACTCGTTCCGAAGTGTCCAGACGACCACGACTGCTGGTAACGCTGAAATATGGAAGTTGATCGAATTTCGTGTACTTCGATACGAATGTTTGTCGAGGCAAAACCTTGAACTCGAAAGTATGTTTTCAAGGACAGACGGCATACTTATTAGCCAGATACATCAGATATAAGCAGTATCTTGTTCTTGCTTATATGCTGCTTTGTGCAACCCGTCTCTATGGGAATGAACATCAGACCGTTTAAACGTTCCTTTTAGACGCGATGCTTGCGCAATGCTATCCGCGATGCAATCGGCTCCAGCCATATGAATATGTAATGCATGCGCTACGCTTCGCTCCGTTATTGGCACGTGTGCATCGCTATCGAATTGAAACGTACGTAAATCATGCTTACGATAACTCGACGCAGCTAAATTTTCCTCTCTAGTTAGTCTGAGTTTCACCGTTAAACGAAAGCTTGTCATTTGATCGGCTGATAGATAGAAATACATGGGAGAAGCGCGTGGGTTTATCCGCTAGCAGTTTTCCAGGAGAAAGTCGCGGTATAGCATCTTATTAACCGCTTGACGCTCACATTTATTTCCACTCAAACGGTAAATTGAAAGATAATCAATCTTTTCTTAGTGAAATTGCCGAGTAAATTGTTTCTTCCTCGTAGACACAAAAAAGAAAAAGAAAGAAAAAAATAATTCCGCATTAGTATAGAAATGTTACTAGCTTATTTCTGTCAAACTTTAATGCAACATTTGAAAACTGCGACAGGATCTGATTTTCAACTAAAGTTGTAGGAATTTCAAATTATTACGTACCGATATAACATAATGGAAAGTATGCGTGAGAAGTCTAAGCTGTAGATTTAATATCTCAAAGTATTATTATCGATACTAAAATTACTTACTTCAATAACTAACTAAATCGTTGATAAAACCATATCGATAGATGACTTTGCGAGATAGGTTCGAGCTTTAAAGGGATTAAACCCTGTGGAATTAATTTCTGCTGGGTTTTAAAGATTCGAGATCCCCGTCTGTATCGGGCAGGTAGGGTGCAAACTTGCGCAGGTATTCTGCAAACAAAAAGCTCTCGGAATGAGCAGGCCAGGTTTCACGGTCGATCCTCGAGAAAGCCGAGAGATAGGAGAAATAACAATGGCGAGCGAGTAAGTCCGTGGTGAATGTTTACCTTCCCTAATTAAATGAAACTTCATCCTCTTCCTTCCAACGTGCCTCCTTTCAAACGCGAACACCATGGAACGTACAGACGATGCTCTGGTCAAACCATTGACGCTGCGAAGGAGGAAGGGAGGCAGAGAGGATCGAAACGGATAAAAAAGTGTCGAGACGGAATATCGTGGCGGAGAGAGAAGCTGGATAATTTTTTGCGCCGGGAGAAAAAATTCGCGGGTAACCTTCCGCACTTTTTCTCTCCCACGAATATAAAAGCCTGCCGTTCGCCTTGCAGAAAAGCGTGACAGGTTGATTCATTTACCTGTGCACCGCGAAAAATGTTGAACCTTCTCGAGGAAAAGAACATGGTCTAGCTTAGATATCGGTTTTCCGGGACAAGTCACCGCAAACTTTACCCCGCTGTACCTGATAGTCGACAATGAGTCACAGCTGCCTTATCGTGCAGAAAGTAAACCAGCCTGATCCACACTTTTTGATATCCAGAACGCATACCGCCGCGGTATATTTTCCTACACGTCAGCTTCTAATTAAATTCCAACACGAAAATATAATGGCATCGTAGTCGACGATGACGTGAACACGCGATGCGTCGTTCTCGCGTATAGCGCCACTGAACGTGCAACGGGTATCGTGCCAGGCAAGTCGAATAAAATTACTGCTTATTAGCAATTGGGACATTCTCCGCGTTTTTACTATTCGTGGATCGTGATCGTGAGTTACGTGCGACGAGATGCATTAAGGAAACGAGGCAAATAGACGATTCTAGTCACGGTACGGCGCGATTCACGTTGCGAGCAGCGGGCTTTACGCGCGTATTCCAACAGATGCACCAGTACACATGTACCTACAGATTGTTTCACAAGAAGGATATAAGGCTTTGTAAAGGCTTGTAGCATAGCACTATGAGTGGATACAATATACAATGTTACAATATACAATGTTCGATCGTTTAATTACACATACGTATCTTATTTTCACGAGCCACCGCAAGTGCTCGAATGAATTATTTTTATAAGCAACATAAAAATCTGTTTTCACGTTTCACAATGTGTCTTTCTTGAAGACGCGAGTCTGTGATAGAGAAATTGCGAACCGACACGCCATCAGTGTGTCTTTCTTGAATATGTAAATTCGATCATCGATCGACACATCCTCCTTATCTTTCGTCAAATATTTGATTTAAGCGTTGTATCGCATCAGCTGAAAAATGTAGCGGCTGGCAAACGTAACATCGAAAAATCTGATTGTAGAGTCTACGTTTCTTAGATATCGTTCGCATCTCTCGTTAAGTATTATTCGTAAGCTCAGAAAATCTGAAACTCTTCTTTTGTAACACCTTGTATAAATAGTTGGCATACAGGCACGCAAGTACATAGGTACATAGGTGTATATAGGTATTTTCATGCGCAGCCAAAGCGTAACGCTCGTGTAGCGCCGTGATTAGACACGCCATGGACTTCGCAGAACCGGTTCTCCTTCTTGTCTGTCCTTTTTCTCTCTCTCTCTCTCTTTCTATCTTCCTCTCTTTTGTTTCTGCTGGTTGGCATCTCTTTCTCTCTGTTCGTCTCGATTATGGGTCGACGGAGGCGAGAAGATGGCAAGGGACAGCAGACTCGCAAAAAGACTGGCGTTTCGTTCGTTTCGCTGGCGCGACTTTCTCCTTGCGTAATCGAACTGCAGACTTTCTTCTTCCTCTCTGACCGAGCTTCTGGAAAATCGATTTACCAGCTAATCCAACAGTCGTCCTCGTTTTCTCACCTTCTACGCGCTGTTCACAAGCAGGAAGAGATCGATTAATCGACTTGGGAATATTTTTATTCAAACACCGGTGAATTATTAATGAATTGCATAATAATCCGTAGTTAACGTTGCCGTGGGTCGATTTTTTTGCTTGCCAGGGAAACGAAGCGTTTCTCGTTCGCGTAGGAATTAGAGCGATTACGAGGCCGCAAACAGATAAACGAGGATAGAGGCTTATGTAATAATTCGACATGCTTGTTTTTAATTTACAAGTCGATAGGCGAGTTCCGAGAAAGTTTACAGTTAGATACGAATACGTACAACTGTGCAAATACGCGAGTGGAGAAAGGGAAGATATCGAATAAATTCGTTTCCTCCTTCAATCAAAATATTAACTTATTGCGATAAGATAAAACATTCGTTCGATCTATATTAGCTTAGTCCATAGATAGTTCTATTTCTGCACTCATTTGCGTTGTGATCGGTAACGCGACATTAGCATCACGCGAGCGTTAACTACCAGTGCACGATATACATATTTATTTATTTATATATTCACCTTAATTATTCTTTCCATGTTTCTGCTTTTCAAATATTCCCAGTTATTAGATTCTCTAATGAAAACAACAAAGACACTATTTCATTGTTTTTTTGTCGTGAAAATGAATAAAAATATGAATGCGCGTAAAGATCCGTCGTTTAATCATCGGTATCGTGCTCTATAGAATTATCGCTATTTCTATCTTGCGAATCACGATGACGCACGATTATGCGTCCATACCGAATACATCAAATATGATAATTATCTGCAAGTTAACGATATTTTCAACTGACTGGTGATTATGCAAGGAACGCGGCAAGATATTCCGGTCCCATTTGTTGCGGTTATTTCCAGTTACTCAACGTGAGTTATATTCTGCGGAGCAGAATCTAGAAAAATGTTGAATTTTTTCTCTACAGTCGCGCTTGCTAATTTGACGAAAAATTTCCCTCGTAAGCGACGTTCGCGTCTCCTCTGTTTGACGTCGCATAAAGTTTCCACGTCGCCATGGCAGAAATTCATAATTTTCCTTAATTAATCAGCGTACCGGCATGACGACGGTTAGATTCCGCTTTGAGAAACGAACCTCGTCCTCGACGCTGGACATACATATTATACGTCTACCGACATCTTTGAACGAAGGATCCAGCTGGTTTATCGATCCATTGATACAAAGCGTTTCACTGCTGTTTAAACGCGTGAAATTTCACTTAGTCGATAGATCTCTTGTTTATTGCTCGATAACTTGATAAAATGTTATTAAATGTGGTATGTACATTGTACGTAAATAATATACTTACGACTAGATGCAAATTCGAGGTAATTCTCCGTAATTGCAGTTCGTGTTAAACGTTAAGTGCAGCTTTCTGTCTGGATGGACGAAAGTGTGTTATTAGTTACAACGCTGCATAAGCGATACGCGAGTCTCCGTGTATGCATTTTCAATAATATCGCAATAATAGGGGTAACGTACGGATGAACGGTGAATGTAATTGGCCGTGATGTAGCATGAGTTTGACGAGCGCGGTGCTTTTCTAATTTTATAGCGGATATTCTATCTCCGCGTGTATCGAATGAGAAAACGATTTTTCACTCAAATAGATTTCCTGTTTCTACGAACCCTTTCAGCTTCTTGTCGTTCGATCGTTCTCGAATTACACGTCTCTAATTTGCTGGAATAGTAAGTTTAATTAATTCTAAAAACGCACTGTCACGGTTACATAATTTTATTCGTGTATTTCATTCGTGTATGTTTATCGTTCGACTGGACCAAACGAAATGTCTAAAAAATATATTTAAATAAAAATTAAATCGATAAATAGTTAAAGCGCGTCCCAGCGTATCTTTCGCAACATTTAATGAATTAAATAAGTAGACGAGATAAGAAAGGATTGCGAAAGGCAGACGTAAAGAGAGATAGAGAATGGAGCAAGGCAGACAAGGTCAGCGACACAGAAATAGTGTCGTTAATAACGAAGAACCGGACAAAACGTCCTCATTAGCGTAATTAAGTCGACGATCGTGTAACAAGCTGCTCATTCTGCCAACGCGGATTATACATACAAGCTGCCAGATATCCATAGACGAAAGGTAGACGACGTACACTTCTATAAATGCATTGGTTTCTATCTCGTTGCCACATAATTTACAAATTTCTCAAACGTACATTAAAAATTCTTGAGAATTAGAAGTGTCTGATTAACGAGTGATTTAGAATATTCTGGCAATACTTCAATCCGAGTGCTCGACCGAATCTCCCTAAAACGAATATTTATATTCTTTAAAAAAAAAATCTTATCGAATAACACAGTAGACGCCTGACTAAATTATTCATATTTTTCAAAAGCCTAGAACAGTAAAAAAAAAAGAAAAAACAGTAAAGCACAAACATAGGTACAATTTGCCCACGAAAGATAGAAAAATATGCTTACGCACAGTTAAACCTCTACCTCTCCATCGATGATATTCGTTCAACTTCGAAGAAAAATCCTAAATCCATCAGAGCAAGGTCTATATAGAAAGAAAAGACTGTGCGGAACGCGCGCCAGTCAAAGGCTTAATCTTCTAGACTGCATTGTAGCAAATTCGCGTAGCCGTGCACGGTGTCGGAGCGAAGTGGATGCGCGTGTATGCGGAGTCACGGGCAGATCGGGTTGGAGCCGGGAGAGCGGGTTCAGTTTGTGACTACTTCGTGAATAATGCATGCCAGCCGCGAGCCCACGCCACCACGCTATATACGAAGATGCCAGACACGCTACTCGGAACCGGGCTTGTATCTATATGGCCACATAAAACCCAGGAGGGGCTTTATGTAGCCGAGCTATATACACGCACACACGTCCATTCGTTACACGTTGAACCGGCGAGCCCGCTCGACTATTTGTGTGTCGAGGCTCGTCGAACCGTGTACTCGGGAACGAGCGAGAGAAGCAGGTAAAGGGCGAAGGAGAGAGACATCGTGAATGCCGTGCCGCTGGGATTCACCGGCGATGCGTGTCCCTCCCGTGGGACACGTGCAGGAAACCCACCGGTGTGTGTCCACGTCCGCGTTCACCTCCACGTTGAACGCATCGTATGCGTTCTGTCTGTGTTTCGCTTTTACGCGAGATCGCAAAGGAAAACATAACCTGCTTCAGTCCGCGATCTCCCAAGCGAGCGTGTGCTAGTTTCTACGGCGGACAATAATCATACGGCTATTGAGATGCCTGTTTTTGTTTCTATCCATGCAACTGGAATAGTAGTCCGAGTCTCGGCCACGTGCCATCGTTTTATAGGAAATTTGTAGCAACGATGTTAATTCGATCTGAAGACTCGATGAAAGGGCGTGAGAAATGTGCCGCGTGTGCGATAATTTGATCCGTTAAGAGTCGAACGTTGCGTTAACGTTACGTTTCATTTGCGCTTTTACTAGGAACATTTCCATCGAAATTTAAATTCCGGCTATCGAAGCAACAAATGATGATGCAAGATATGCTCTCGCGTAATATTCCATTTATTTTGCTGAAACTTGGCAACGCTATTATCGTGGCAGCGCGTACATTATCGAGAGAAAAATTTGTTTTCCAAGGGTTCAAGTTTCGTATTCGTAGATAAAGTAACGTTGACTGGTTAACAACGGCGTTAAAACACGAGCCATTGCAGTTTCACGAGATTACCGGAAGTGGAACGTGTGAAGTATGAGCAGATTGTTTCGCAAAGTTGCGTGCTAGTTTCGCCGAGTAGACACAATTCTATACGATTCCGCGCAGTTTCCCTGTCGCGTCGTATCGAAACTTTGCTCGTGTCGCGCAAGTTTTCCGATTGCTCACATTCTCACCGCGAAATCCCTTAACTTTCGGTAGTTTCCTACGTCTCGTTGAAATTCGAATCGATCTGCTATACAATTTTTGTCAAGGATTTGTAGAAGATCTTTCTACTTATTGTCGGATTTTTCTTTGGCAAATTGAATCGTTTATATTCGCGCGTAATCTTTACTGTTCTAATCTCTCGGAATATCTGGAAAATTTCTGCGATGCTTATCGAATTTCTATTACGTTATGCATTCAATCTTTAAGTGAAACCTTTTGAAAAACACATAGGTGAGATATCACCTGTAGGAACTAAATCTAAATATACAAATGAAAAAAATACAAAATTGTTAACCACTATACTTCCAACAAAACTAAGAAGCAATAAATGCAATTTATCGTACGATTGCTTAAATTTATCCTGTTAAACCAAAAAAAAAAAAAAAA